AATAAAATGATTTAAAATAAAAGAAGAAATAAGAAACAAACAAACAAAAAGAATTCAATAGTATCTGGTATCAATAAAGATGACAAAAATTCCCTCAAATGTCAGTACTTTCTTGTAAGGACTATAATTCACATTTTATTACTCATTTACATATATAAATTAAGTGGTCCATTGTTTTTATTTATTTTAAATCTATAACAAACTGTAAGGGGAACTGTGGGAGAAGAAATAACAACACAAAATAAACCTCACTGCCATTCAGTCAACTCTGGCTCATCGTGAGGTAGAACTGCCACGGTGGGTTTCTGAGACCAAATGTTTTACAGGAGAAGAAAGCCTTGTCTTTCTCCCGCAGAACGACTGGTGCCTTTGAACTGCTGGCCTTAGGTTTAGGAGCCCACCGTGTAACCCACTACCACACCAGAGGGGATAGAGTCCGTTTTAAATATTAAAGGACTTCAAAAAAATTCATGGAAAAATTCCATTATCTTTTAATTCCGTTTTTCCACAAAGTATCCACTCCGTCTCCACCCCATCTTCTTCCTCCTATAAATATAGACACATTTTTCTTACCACGGCTCCATGAAATAAGCCCTTGTTGACACAGGCTTTGTTCAACCAAACCCAAACCCACGGCTATTCAGTTGCTTCCAACTCACAGGACCCCATAGGGCTGGAGTAGAGCTGCCGCGCGGATTTCAAGGCTGCAAACTTTTAGGGAAGCAGACAAGCACATCTCTTCTGGCCAGGCCACTCTCCGTCTTTTGATGAGCAGCCAAGTACTTGAACCACGGGGACGCCAGGGGTTCTTAAAGGCTTTTTTAGGAGTCCCCAAATAGCGTGCCATCTCAATACAGCTCAGACCAGTGCGAGGGGGGAGGGGCGGAGGGGCGTGGGGCTCAACCGTCTGTCTGGCTCCCTATTGTGTCCCCTCTTAAATGGTGAGGAAGCGCGTCCTGAGCTCACCTGCGGCCGCCCCTGCGCGGTGCAGAATGGCCGAGGCCGCCCCAGGGCCAGGCGGC